TATGTATGTATGTATGTATGTATGTATGTATGTATGTATGTATGTATATATCATTACTATATATATTCATACATATGCACGTCTGGTCCCTTGTCTTGTCATTGACAAGATTTTGCATGGCGTCTCCATCATGTTGGTGCCAAGCGACGTCCAGCCGATGTGTGAATCGGCGCCTGCTAACACTTTCCTTTGGAAAGATCGTCACATGCAGAGCCACATGGCTACGTCAGGTGATGCGAAAATGCTCCAAGTGATGTGAAAATGCTCCAAGTGACTAGCCAACTTGAAGCTTTGTGGTCATGAGGCTAGTGAATCAGACTCAGTGAGGCTAGTACTACTAGTACGTCTTCAGTCAGTCCACTGCATAAACCCGTTCCGACCGAATCCCTGAGCCCTCCGAGCTCGGGAGCGTTGAGGTTTCGGCCCTGCCGGTGGGGGGGGCGGAAACACAGCGAGGTCAGGGGGAGGTGGAGAAACAAGGAGCTCCGACAGCTGCGACGATCCAATTTGGATTTTGGCTACCAGACTTGATGTTGTCATCTACTGAAATGGATATTGCTACCTCCCAAGACCATTCTGTGTGTGGCTGGACGACTTGTCGGGATAGACAGGGTCCAAACAGTCAGATGTTACACCGGATTGGACGGATCGCGTGGGTTCCTTCGATTTCGATGCGGGGAGACGACGGCGTCGAAAGACGCGACGGCGTCGTCACCAAGCATCGAAGCAAATGGTTTCGATCGTCTGAGAGGTTTCGCCCCCAGATGGTTCGCATACCGCAGTTCCAGCTGTTGGTTGATAAAGGCTCAGGCTTAGTCAGCCAAAAACTGCAGTTCTCTCTCTGAATGCCAAATCTCTCAAGCTCACTCCCTTCTAGCCCATGTGCTCACACCTTGCTTCGACTGCACAAGCAGCTGTCTGGCAACGCTCTGGACCTCATCAACTGAAGGAGTCTGGATGACGGAGAGACCTACCTAACCAACATACCGGAAATGAGATCTTCATTGACTTTCACACGCATTTGGCCAGTGGAATGTAGCTATCGAATCAGGAACCAGACCAGCCCTTCCGTGACGCTGAAACCCACACGTCGGTAAGGTCTGCCCATTCCATATGAGGAATGCAAAATATATGGTCTCTCCCCACCAGTACCAAGTAAAACCTGGTCCTCCCCCTCATTGAGTACTGAGTACTGAGTACTGCTGTTTGGCTCGCATCGGAACGGTCCAACTTCCGAATCGAAGCTTCTCAAGCGCTCAAGTGCCCAACGGCTTGGTTTCTGCACCAGCACAGGAGTCGATGTGCACCTGCACCATCGAGTCTTTTGGTACAAATGGGACAAGTGAGCTGTTTCCCCAAACAGCCACTTCCTATGTAAAGGATCTCGATTGCCATATTGGAACAACCATTTGTTTATGGTTGGGACTGGCTTTCCAGGTGGTCATGGCTCAAGTGCAGGCTCGGGCTTTCTCAGCTGTTTTGGTCAGTTTATCAAGAATCCAGTGAAGAAAATTGATGCCACAGTCTCATCTGAATGGCACTTGTTTGTGCAAGTGGTTTCAGTCCCAACTGAGGAAGCAATGCGATGGAGCAGAGGAAGAGGAAGAGGGAAAGGAGAGGAGGGAGAGGCAGAGGGAGAGAGGCAGAGTGGGGGAGGGATGGTTGCTTCAAGCAAGATTGCAAAAGCACTCTTACCACACCCAAGTGGCGATGCTAGTCATGTGTCTACTCTGAGACTGACTCAGAGTTTGAAGTCAAGAAACACCCGGCCGATGCAAAGTCAGTAAGCCGAGTAAGTACCTCCAAATCCAGCTGGCCAAGTACCAGGATTAGTTTACTTTCAAGTAGAAACCGTGTAAAATGTGCTTTGGTGTGTCCAGCAACGATGTACTTTTTTTGCTTCAAGCAAAAGACCAATGCCAAAGCACATCCAAGTGGCAATACAGTGATACAACGATCGTGCAATTGCTCCAAGACTGACTTGCTGTTGGAAGTCAGGAAAAACACCCGGCGGCTTGGAAAATGCCGAGCGTGAGCGAGTGCCTCCAAGTCCAGCTGGCCAAGGACCAGGATGAATTGGTCGGCAGCAAAAACATGCAATTTGGGAACAGCCTGGGCCCCCATTGACCACATGGCAAAAGCTGAATACACTCAATGCAATGCTTGAATTATCCTCGGATTTCTTACTCGCTAAGGTAAGTTCCTGAGGTTACTGGGAGGAAAGAAGTGAAGACTGCAGTAAAGCTGCAGGTGGATACTTGCCCCACCCTAGACACACGCGTGGCGATCGAATCAAAATCTGAAAAACGCGGGTTTGTCTGCACTTGGGGGGTTCTGCACCTCTCATTCAGATCAACTAAAGACTTTCGGACTAAAAGGTCAGCCATTGCCAGTCCTGCTTCCTGGCTCAGCCTCTGAAGGTGTCCAGTTCTTCCTCTGAAAGCACGACACCTGGCAAGACAGGCTCAAACTCAAAGTTCAGAGTATTCTTTTCCACCCTGTGGAGGAGCTTCTCTGGCTTGGCATCCTCGTCCTCGTCTTCAGCCATTTCGCAAATCGGCGGCAAGTAAGAGAGTCTCAACGAATTGGACGACTTGCTCTTCGTCGAAATGTGCTTCACTGACTTGCTGCTCACTTGTCCCAGGCTGGCTCCACTCCCCATGGTGGAGCTGTTCTGTCGCGGAAAAAAGCACGGGGGGGGTTTTCGTGTGACCCGGCTTGTTGCGGCGGTCTTTGTTGCTTTCTTGAGCCCACGAGCCACATCCAAACAGAATCCAAAAAGCATCCCACTCAGGGTATATGAAGGCTCCCGTGCATCTTCTTCACCTACCTCGGTCTACAAGCCGTCCACCTTCGAAGCCCTTTCGGCCTTGGCAAGCCACCACGCCATTCCACCCAGCCCTCGGACGCCCAGATCCGCTTCGGCCACCGGTGCCCAGCCTCCCAGTGGGACGACCCTTCGGCGTCGTGTGCCGAAGCGGGCGGCCCTGGCGGAGTGCGCGGCACGGGCCCGGCTCGGCACCGACTCTCCTCATGGGCGGTTCGTTCTTTAAAACAAACACGTCAAGCACCATCCCAATGTTGGGTGAAAGAAAAAAACAGAACCCTCTTGAAAGGGCTTTTCAACTTTTAAATGTCGCGAGAGAGTTCAAGTCACGAAATGTGCCCACTTTCAGCCACTTGCAGGTACTTCCACTGATTGACCTACAAAAAGCCCTCCAAAGATCCCGATCTGACAACGAAAAACCAGGCCACCGCCGGAGTTCGTCCAAAAGAAATGCTATTGGTGGGAGGCACTTGGAACACTTGATGGTCAATACTGGGGGACCTGCAAACCACCTGCCGTGGGGTTGGTCGATTGGAACCCGCTTAAGCCGGGTCCCCCTTGTTGATCACCCATGGGATCAAGCATGGTCCATTGGCAAAATGGAAGGAGAAGCCCGAAAAGCCAAGTGGCCGCCGGCCGCTAGCCGCTAGACACGGGAAAACTCCGCCGCCTATCTGCGTGTCAAAAACTCCTTTGGCGGGGGGTCCCTGCAAATACTGCAAATAGGCTGGCATATGCCTTTAAGGCAACAGCAACAGCTTTGCTGGGTCAGCAACTACCCCATCCTGTGCAAACCACATGAATCCCTGGCTTTGCCACACCAGCTGCGGGTCGTCTGTCTAAATTGGTGTGTCTTCAAGACCAAGAGGTCTTGAACGCGATGTTCCAAGATGCTCTTCCAAAAGCCTGATGCCACCCTTCTTGAAACAATCCACGGCCTTCAACCCCTGGAGCCGCTTCTGCAAGTTCTGGTTGATGTCGGCCTGAATGTATGCTGAAAAAGGTTTTTGGTTTCTGAGAAGTCATTTCTTGCAGGTTCTGTTCAGCCTGACACGAGGCAGCACTCAAGCTACATGCAGACTTGGTCGACACTTGCAAATCCACGAAAGATCGGCTTCGTCCTTCTTAGAGAGACCTTCTCAAAGATCACTCGGAAGACCAAAATGCATTAGGGGTCTCCCTCTTCCACATCCATCTGCTCTGAAAAAAACTCTGGAGACTCTCCAACCGGCACCCGAGATGGCAAACCAGGGTCCCACCAGCGAGGAGACGGGCTCGCCCGTGGTCGGGCGTGAAGAGACCGAGGAGACCCAGTGCCCTGGTGGCTCTGCACAGCGGCACCGGTGGGCGGTTGAAATCACTGGAGGAACAGGTGTCTTGGTCGGGTGCTCAACGGACCGTCGATTCGACGGACCGAATAGGAGTCTTAAAAAAAAAAAAGAAAGCAAGAATAGGGCGTTCTGAGAGCGTTCCTCTCGCCGATCTGAAAGCTTTTTTAGGCATGCCTGGTCCTGACGCAAGTTGGATGGCAGAATCAAGAATGTCGAATGGATGGCAGACATCCCACATGTTCAGGTCTCGGAAGCTAAAGCATGGGCAAGAAAGGGAAGCAAAGAACTCACAACGAGATTTCCTCACTGATGTCTCTGAGACCCCCTCCTCTTCCCTTCCTCGGGCAGTCATGAGTCTACAGAAACTCGATAGATGCCTTGAAGCCATGAATGCTTTTTTTTGCACACAGCCCTGCCCTGCCTGAGTTTTCGAACATGGCAAGTCCATCGTTGGGAGTCGGGCCAGCGCAGGCTTGGATAGCGTAAAAGACGATCCCTTGATCCTACGCAGCACGCATAGTCCTATCTCACTGGATTGGGTGAGCTCTGTGCCACAGCTAAGATGCTCACCAAGTTCCGACTGGTTGTTCCAGGAAAACTAGCTCAGTCGAGTTGAGTCTTCAAATGTTGGAGCAGCCTGTGACGCACTGTCACATCAATGTCACATTGAAAGTCTCCAGCACTAAAAAAGTTGAGCCAAAGCGCACTCGCCCAGGGAAGCCCAAGCTCTTTGCTTATGCTGAAAGGTATGGTGCTTCATCAGCATGGCTCAAGACTCTCAACGCTTTCTTTCCAAAGGACCTTTCAGTTTGTGTGGTGTGTGCGTATGTTTAAAGTCCCATCTCATCAACTTCCACCCCCCATCACGTCTACATCGAACGGCCAACCAACCCAACCCACCCCTCGCGATAGGATCATCGCCATGACTATCAGGGCGATGATCGATCCCGCAGCGCGCTGCGGTTTCAACCCGCGGTTATACCTAGCGTTGCCGCGAGGAGGTCGCGGCAACGCTACCCGGCGGCACCTCTGTTGCAAGGGCAGCAGCACAGCTCTCAGCTGCTCTTGGACTCTTCGGCTCCTTTCCAACTCCGCCTTCTCCGACTCCCAAAGCCTCGAAAGACGAGATGGAGACGGCGCGGTGCGGAGCCGAGACGGAGCGGAGACGGGACGAGACGGAGCACCAAAAACGAGACAAAAAGAGCTGGTAATAGAGATGATCAAAGAAACTGACACGAAGAAGTGAGCAACAGTGGAATGAGAAAGACATGTTCAAATGTTCTTCTAAAATGCTAGATACTAGATATGCAGATACTGGGATGATCCAACTTGCTTAGGTTTTTCCTAGATGGACGTGAGACCTTTGAGAAAGTAGATGGGCCATCGAATCATACAATTCTTGGGCAAATGTCCCTCCTCGACCTTTCTGAAGAGGCGTTGGGAACCATGGTGTGGTCCGAACTGGACTCTTGGCCTCCCCACCTTCCCCACACGAAGGGGCTTCAGATCAAGACAGGTCGTCTTCTGTTCATCAAAACGACACACCCACATTTCGACACGCCCAGCACCGCAGATGTTGGGCTCTTTCCATTGCTTTGTTTCAAGCCGCCCAATGACAAAGGCGACCACTCCGGTCAGAACTCCACAGGATGAGGCAGGACCCCAAAAACACACCCGCAAAAAGCAGGGTCCAGTGGGGTTTGTTCCACCCCCCCGGCACGGCAGCCTCTTCAGGGTCTCCACGCTGTCCGGCAAGGTCTCCACGCTGGGTGCCATGGCAGCGAGGCTTTCCATGGCACCGCTGTCCGCACCGCGAGGCGAGTCCGCACCGTGCAGCGTCTCGTCTTTCGTCTTTGAGGTTGAACAGTGAACATCAGTCTTGGCCTGCGCTGCCTGCGCTGCCTGCGCCCTTTGCTTGCGAGTGCTGTTCCAAATTTAGCAAAACCATTGATCCAAACATAAAACTCTTGCAAAAGCCATGATGTTTCTGAGGTCCTTGGGTTGACTTAGGAGCTCTGGGAAGCCAAAGGCGCCCACGTACCGCTGGTTCCATCATCGCTCTGCATCTCACATGTCAGCTTAAACAAAGAGTGGGATGGAAGGCCAGCCCAAAGTGATTTAGACGGGATCGCTTTCCTTCCTTAACTCTTCACTTCAACTCAACATTTCACCTCGGCACTGCCAAGTTGCCACCCCTGCGCCTTCTTTGCATCACACCACCTTGAAGCGATTCCCCCACTTTGGGGGGAGCCAGTTCGAACGGCCTACTCCCACAGCTGGCGCCTCGGCAGCGCCGGCGAAGCCGGCAGCGCGCTGAGGAAGCCTGGCCGGTCTTGTGGCTGCGGGTCAAAACTGGGGGACCCCCGCTTTTTTAGAGCGAAAATGAACAGCCTACCAGGGCAGGGCTCCGGATTTTGACCCACAGCCGAGTTTGTTCTACCCTGCGTAGTCTGTGGAGTGTGGGGGGGGGGCCATTGTTAAGCTGCAGAGGTTGGCACTAGGATCACTATCTCCAACTACAGAAACAAGAACTACAAGACTACAAGAGGGCTCATGACGATATTTGATGAAATCCGCTTTCCTTGGTGCCAAGCAAGCCCTCAACAGCTGCAAGCTCATGACCAGATCGCTTGAACGTTTGATGTTCCAGTTTCCCAGCAGAAACTCACCCGCTGCTATCTACAACTCGTTATTTCGACCTGTTGTCGAAACTTCGGTGCGACAACCACTTCTAGCTGCATTCACAAAAGGGAACTTTCAAGGTATCCCAGCACTTGAACTGAACACTATTATAGTAGATGGACATGTTCAGCCTTTCTCCGATGCCCACCTTGCGCTTTCCTGCGTCCCCACCGCGCAACCCACGTGGCCCCAGCAGCGAGCAGCACAAAGGGCGCCCCCCCAGCGTGGCGCAGCAGCCGCCAGGGCCACGGCCGCCAGACAGGCGCTGAAGACCACCAGGCGATCGCAGTAATCAGCAAGGCACACCAAGAAGGACAAGGCGGCCTCAGGAAGAAACTGCAACCTATATAGCGATGGCCTCCAATCTACTAGCGATGCCCTCTAACCTACTAGCTGCTGCATTCTCCTTCGGATGCTGGAGGGTCCCTCAAATCGAGAGAAACATGGACCAGGAGAGGTCGCTCTAGCGCTGAGGGCGCTGAACTTAAAGTTGTTTTCAATTGGAGCGCTTAGTTGCATATGCCTGGCTGGGAGTGAATCAAAGGACTTATTATATAGATATATAAACTTCACAAATCAACAAACACACACACATATATATATATATATATGTATATAACTATATAACATATATATATATATATATATATCTTAGCTCTCTTGTACCTGACTCAGCACAGCAAGAGAAGCATCCAAACTTTTCAGGTCCGATCCAAAGCTTCCCTCATCCCCTCAGCCTGTGCATCCTTGCTGAAGCTCGTATGCGCCGCCCACCGGTCGAAGACCGCCGCTTCCAGCTGCTCCCGTGGCGCGCCGCCGTCGCCACGGCCGTCCATGCGGCCGAAGGGGCCACCGTGGCGCTGCGCGATCCAGGCGTCGAAGCGCGCCACCAGGGCGTCCGCGTGGGTCTCCAGCAGATACTCGGAGGCCGGGCCCCCGAAGCGCCTCGGGAGAAAAGGATTCTTTCCGATTGAGAGAAACTTCTGGATGGGGTGAGGGCCGTGCTCAAAGCACTTTTTTGGTTGGCTCTTTTTGCGGTGGCTGATGAGGTAAGGTATATAACAAGAGAAGGATAGAGAAGGGCTTGTAAAGGCAACTATTAGTAGATCTCCTAGAAGTGTTTGATCTGTTTGGTATTGGCTTGGCTTTCAAGGCCCAACAACCCTGGCATGTTTGCTTTAACAAACCGCTGCACCCTCGCCAAGCTTCTGCGAGACACGCGGCTCACGAAGTTCTTTCTTCTGCACAGCTGGCAGGCCCACCGAGTCTTGGAAGGAAAGCACCGTGTTGTCTTGATCCCCAAGTAGCCCCTGCACGGCCGGGCCGTCGACAAGAGCTGGGCCCGGTCGAAGTATGGAAGAGGGCTGGGCGCCACGCCCTTAATCCTTTCACTATCCAAAAAGACATCTCCATGGCGCCTGCCGCTTCATCCACATTGACTCCATGTTCTTGCTCTATCCCACCTTCCCTCCATTCGGTCCGTGCGCGGGCCCTTCCTCCGCGCGCGTTCCGCGGGCGCTCGCCTGCAAGAGCTTCCATGTCTCGAGGCCTCGCCGCACCTTCGCCAGGTCGGGCCAGCGTGTTTCCGCCCAGGCCATCCACGAGGCACGGAGATCGCGCTTTGGCTTCTCGGCGGTGCCCAGGCTCCGGCCTGGGTCGACAAGGAGAGGACTTCGGACAGCTGGGGTGGGAGGAGTTCGGGGTCCTGGCTAGTACTAGACAATGCTTTTGGGGGTTTTAGAGGTCCAACTTCATTCTGTTTGCAGGTGTGAACTACCATATTGGCAACCTGTTGCCTGTTGCTTGGGGCTCCAGCATGGCTCTGTGAATCACGGCTACATGCTACCGGCGTTCATTTCAAGATCACCCAGACCTGAGCTTCTTTTCTAAATGTTGACTTTTATCTAAAGAAGACAGAAGACATCTCAAAAAGAATCAGTGGGGGAAGAAGGACAACTCTTTGCGCCTTTCAAAACCACCTTGGACATCTGCATCATGTTCCCCTTGAGGTTGCTCTTGCTGTCGTCTTCGTTCTGGCTTGGCACAAAATAGGAGGTGGTAATCTGGCGCACTTTTCCAGGCTCGGTGGGCACGAAATAGAAGTTGAAGCCAATGATTCGACCATCCGGATAGAGGTAGGAGGTGGAGTTGGCACAAGGCGGCACGAAGCGACGATCAGCCTTCATGCCCATGTTGCTTTGCATGTATCCACCATGCTTGACCTTGAGACCATCATCTCCAAGATCTTGAATGTCAAACGGTTCCATGGGGGCCGCATATTCTGGAGCAAAGTTCGGTAGGGCATACTGATGCAAAAAGGGCGCGTGGCTGGGATCCCAGCTTTGTTCGAGCCACACCCTCCAGCCGGCTGGCACGTCAAAACAACTCCAGTTGGGACTCTCCGACAACTCCTCAGGGACAAAGGGTTCCCTTTGCAAAGCCTCTTTCGCACTGGCGTGGGGCCAAACGAAGAGCAAGCCCTTCTTGAGCTTCGTCGGATACGATGCCAGCTTGCTGCAGTCTTGACCGATCAAACGTCCCTCAGCTTCAGAATCCCCATGAGCCATTGGAACTTTCGCACACATGCCATCGCCCTTGCAGGGAACAAACCCGAAAGAACTGGGTGTTTATCCAAAAAATAATTACACAGGGCCACCTGCAGGTCCTACGATGCATACAAATGATTCCAAATGACTTGGAAAAGCAGCCCCATCCAAATGGCGTGAAGAGAATTGTTCGACATTGACCCAACCATGGAGAAAGAAAAGACAAACACTGTGAAAGTGTCGTCCCCGACCAGGCCTTGAAGCACCAACCATGGAAGCGGCACATGAGCTCTCCGTTTTCAGTCACACGGCCACGTGCCAAGGGTGCAAGACGATGAGGACAAATACCGTCAGTGCATCGCCATTCACCCTCCCCGTCTTTCCAAAGTACCAAATCCTTGGCAAATGGTTCCAAAACCCCCATGAATGTATGTGTATATATAAATTGGCTTCAATCTTTTGTAGCAAGAACATGGTCATGGTTGACTTTTGCATCAACATTGGTGACTGGTCCAATTTTCACACTCCGGCCTTGTTCAGCAGCTTGATTGGCTCAGGACCCACCCCCTGCAACAGCGACAAAGGCAGAACTGGATACCATTGCTTCTCCCAGCTGTAAGAGGATTGGGATTTCTTCACCTCGACCTCTTCACTCTCCACCAGGTCACTCTTCGCTCGCTTCGCCCTCCGGGATCGGCGCACCCAACGTGCGGCGCCCACGCCCAGCGCCCACGCCCGGTCGAACCCGCTGCCCCGGCGGGTGCGCGCCGCGAACCCCGCGGCGCGGCGGGTGCCGGCGGTGCCACGGTGTGCGGCGGTCGGAGGCGGCGGTCTGACAAGGCGAGCACCAGCCGTGGGAGCTGGCAACATGGCACCGGGAAGAGGGAAAGGCCGAGGGAGTTGGGGTTCTTGACTTTGACTATTTGGATCAAGGTCAGGTTGAACCACCACCTGGCCAAGTTTTAGAGGTGGCCTCAAAGAAAAGTGAACTGGGATCTACAGAAAGCACAGAATCTTATCTATCTACAAATGTGTGCATGTATAACTATACGTATATATATATATATTATTGATACAAATGATATATATATATATATCATATCATATTATATCATATAGAATACTATATATATATATGTATATTTATATATATATATATATGTGTCAGCCTCAAGTCAAAATAAGTGCAGCGTTTCCTGCTCAAAACAATGGGGGCTATGCATGAGCTCTTGTCTCTCGTGCGGGAGACCACATTGGTTCTTGGCATGCTTGGGCTTGAAGGTCTCAGCTGAAAGGAGCTTTGCGGAAAGTTGAGCATGACAGCGTGGGTTCTCAACTGTATATTACAAACACAGGGATCACTTTGGTATCTTTGGTAATTTCTTGGCACAGAAGGATGAAGTACTGAAAGCATGGCCTGGCCAGAACTGATCTCCCGACAACTTCTACTTGAGGGAGCAGCACAGGGGTAAAAACAAGATTGCTCACGCCTCACACTGATTCTTTTGGCATACTCCACTAGAAGTTGCCGGAGTATTGTGTACTTGCCCATGCAGCCTGGCCTTGGCAATTTGTCCGTTCCAACGAGACTACGATTTCGCAGATCTCCGCTCTGTGATCAGCCTTTTGTTGCCTTGTGCCTACTCCTGCATCGAGGTTTAGTGTGCCTAAACCCCTCTGTACAAATAGCACCAGTTTGGCGGGCGCATGATCACGTCAGGCCGCTCTGGGTGCTGCAGGAACGTTGGTCACGTTGCTTAGAGCGCACAGCTCGATTCCGGTCACCATGGTCGTTGTCTCACCTTGCTGCCACCGAAAACAGGTATGGTGGGTGCAGGCCACCGAAAACCCTGCCAGGTCTGACTGAATCCCAAAGAGGAGTGGGAGAGCCTGCTTTGGGAGTTGCTTGAACCGGGTTTTCTCTTTCATTGATGTTCCATGTCTCTTCTTCTCAGAAGGTCCTTGTTCTTGGTACTGGTCTCTGCTACCAAATACCCATCATGAACCACGAGGTGAGACTCCATGACCCCTCAATCAGTTCTTTTGCAAACATTATATACGCAAATCCTGCCAACGTGGCCTAGATTGATTGAATGAAATTACTAGCTCGCGAGCAATGATGTTGCCGCTTCTCAGCCACAAGTGGTCTATTCTTACCTGAGTGACCGCAAAAACCCGAAGGAACAGGAAAATAGAGGGCTCTTCACCACTTTGGCTTTGCAGCCCTTTGCAGCCCTTTCTCCCGCCCTTTGAAGCCCTGAGGTTGGGGGAGCCGACGAACTAAAGTCGAACAACCGACTTGACGATTTCAGGACGCGCCATGAACTGCAGTACCCACAATGAGAGCCACCTATGAGAGCCACAGCCACCGGTGTACAAATCACAGAAGATGTGCCAGCACGCACCACGCATGAACTTGAAATATTGATGAATAACCATTGAATAACCAGCTGCAATGATGGTGTTTGCCCAGCCAAGAGTCAAGACATTCATTCGTTCTCGTGGATGAACAAAAGAGTCGACAGGGCGGTGGAACGTGTGGTGAAGAACATCCACGAAAACAAAAAGATGTTTCACCCAGGAAAAAAGAAACGCTCCACTAACTCTTCCCAGCCGTTGTCCACTCGGCGCCAAAAAGCCCCATTTTTCCTCGACGGGCTTCGCTGGTTCGTTCGTTCGCTGGGACCTTTTTGCGGCGAAGCAGCGAACCGTTTGGCACAGCCTGGATCCGCACGACGGGCTTCCTGAGAACGGCGGTCGCGGTCGGTCAACAACATGGTGGCACGGTGGCACGGTGGCAGGGTTTGGCGGTTCCTGAAGCCCACAAGTCTCAGCCCACCATCCAAAGTCTCGGCCCAGCGTCTTCTCCACTTCCGAGGAGCTCAGTCCCTTCTGCACCAGCTTCCGAAACTCCACCACCGCGTCCGCGTCCCAGGGGAGCTTTTGCCTGGTGCCCAATCCCCCCGACGAGACCAAGGCAAGCTTGTTGCAGGCTGTCATGGGTTCAGCGGTTAAGCCAACTGCTATTGAAGCCCAAAGGAAAGATTGGATGAACTGGATTTGCATTCATCACAAGTCGACGAGGGCCTTTGCAAAGAAAATCCATGTCACCTTCACAGGAACAAACACTTGACATTTAGGGCCTTAGGGTTATGAATTGGGCGGGTGCTCAACCGAAGCCACGGCCACTTCAGAGCCCCTAATTAATCATCTCAACCCAAAACACCAACCTCACTGCAGGGCCAGCCGGGATGCCTGTGAACACCTGCCACTGTTCAGACAACACTGGACCCATGGGGGTGAGTGGTTTTCGGAATACTTGCAACCCGCAAGAGTCTGACCCGCCTCTCCGACGTCATGGTCTGCAGGCTGAAGTCGGACTTCTTCACAGAAGTTGCCTTGTGGATGGTCTTCCTCAGGACAGTTGCATGCAAACACTCGCGCGCGAAGGCGACGGATTGATCCGGTGAGGACATCTGTCATCTGCCAAGCTTCTTCAAATGATCTACTGGGATGTTCTGCGACTCCCAGAGGTAGAATTCCTTGGTGTCGACGTGGGCCCACGGTGTCGTCGTGTGGTCGTTCAAGGTCACTTACGTCAAGAGGAACAGATTCGACTTTTGGATTGTTTTCAAGAACCAGCATGAAGGCCGTCCGTGACACGAGGATCCTGCCAGCATATCAAGGCTCCACGTTTGGTGGAGATCACAAGCTGAAAATAGAAAGAAAGTGGTCCAAAACTGAAGGATGTAGGATGTACACTTAATTGTACAAAATTAGATATCATCAAGCAACCTCGTCAGAGCTCACCAAAATGTTGGTTTCCCTTAAACTTTGCCTACAGAATGCTGGAACCTGAACTCAATATAGCGATGCCAATGCCCACTTACCCCCCGGCCCTTATTGCCCAAGAAGGCACCACTGCCGTGCCACAACCTCCCTTCCACTGCGAGCATCGAAGGGCTCTGTGAAGGTCATCCATTTGGAATGGTCCTTCGTCTCCGGCGTGGTGTCCGGTGGATGGACCTCAAAGACTCCCACAAACTCCTGACGCGCAGCAGACGAGCTGGAGCTCGTCCCACTGCCGGGGCGGACCTAGTGGCGTCCCCCACCCCACGTGAGGGCCGGAACGGGAAGATGGGCCACAATGTGTTCAGAAGCTTTCTTTCTTGCACCTTCCTCCCTCCACCAGCTTGATTACTGTAGGTTCTCCCAGTGTTGTGTTGAACGACCCGTTTCAGATGCTTGGATGGATGGATTTCACTCGTGGGAGTAGTGCGGTTCTATCAAGTGATCCCGATCCTGAACGCGTTTGGTCGGTCTGGCTTGGTCCAGCTTCGCTTCACCACTCCCTGTGACGAGTCTGACCTTCTCATGACCTGCTTGCCCGCTATTCGGTTGGATGCCATCGCTAGTAGGTTGGAGGCCCTCACCAATCCCTTGCCTTGCCTCCTTCCACTGTTGTGCCATGGGCGACCTGGCGACGGACCCGCAAACCCACGAGCGAACACGGCGAAGCGAACCCGACGAACGTCCGGTTCGTCGAGGTGTCCGTCGTCGCGACGACGAACCTGAGGTACTTGTATCTCCGCGTCTGCTCAACCTCATCTTTTCGCTGATTGCCCAGGCAAATGGCATCCTCGAGGTGTGTGTCCATGTAGCCACCTGGCATCTTTTTGGGGTGGTCGCAAAGACACCACTTGCTTGTCCAGCAAGAGTCAAACCAAAACGGACAAAACTCATGAGAAACAACTACAGGTACACGATCAAGCGTTTCGGTCGTTTTGAGTACCAAAAATTTGGCCACCTGGGATTGATTCCTTTGTTCTTTCTCCTCTTTCTTTCTCGTGGTGGACAGAGTTGTCATGTTGTTTCTTCTTGGGCTTTTCTGGGCAACTGTTCTAGAGTCTAGGCGTCTTCTCACTGCAGCTTCAAGAATTCACGAAGCTCCTCCGAAGTGTCCTCCAGTGTCCTCCAACTCCCCCACGCTCCTCGAGCACCGGATCCTCCAGCTCCGGATCCCGCCGCTTCAGACGCGGCGGAGCGCGCCGAGGCTTTGGACGTTGGGTTGGGGATGGATGCTCGACCTCGAAGGGGATGGGCGCAGCTTCCCAGGTTGGGGTGATTCAAAACAAACAAAGAACACCGGAGTACAGAGTACCTTCGCAGGCCCTGAACTCTTGGGTAGCTGGATTCGATGTAGCTGGCCTTGCTACTATGTCTATAGTCGTCGGCTGAAGATGGATGATAGTAAGAAACACAGTAGACATGTAAAGGCACCCTCCACCACTTGCAGCGGAAAACTGCTTAAAGGTCTTCCAATGAGATTCACATATTTTGCAAAGTTGGGACATCACCGGCCTGCTGGCATCTCTTTCGCTCCTGGCTGTTTGCGAGGCAAGAGCTTTCAGTCGCGAACGATGCAGAAAAGCAAGTGACATGGAACCGACCTTTCTGCTGTCGCTCTCATAAGCAAAGGGCCGTTTCTGTGTTTATGGATTGTCTCGGTGAAAGAAAGTGCGCTTCATGACATGTTGAATGCTTTGGCAGGCGTTAATACCAAATAATTCCAGTATCCATGTCAACCGAAAAAATGAACATTGAAGTTTAGCAGTCCCATCAATCGTCACAGATCTCAACGCTTTTTACTTGTGGAAACGAAGTATGCTGGTAACAGTCTCCTGAGCTTTTCACTGGCGTGGGTCCAGGCGGTTCAGATTCTTCCTTCTGCAAGAAAATCAATTGCTCCTGCAAGAAATCATCTGAACAGATCGATCCAGGCGAGAAATGTTCCCGGTCAACAACTGCCTCATGACTATTCTCGGGATCAGCTCCTCAACGTCCTTCTGTTTGGCAATTTTATCCAGCTGCAGCTTCTCAAGCTGCCTCAATGGAATGCCGCCCACAGTCTTGCTTCATACATATTATATATATATATATATATGTAGTAATCAGCAGTCGACAGCTCATTTCAGTTGACCTTTCGGACACAATGAGCTAAACTGATCGTCAACAGCGTGCTTCGACGGCCAATCTCCTCCATACTGCGCCAAGCGGCTCTCCGCTGTCAAGCCTTTCTTGGAGCTTCTTGATTTCGCGCAGTTTTTTCCTCAAGACGAGCTCGCAGACAGCTCGCTTCGGTTGCTGGTCGAGCTCAGCTCCAAAGAAAGATGATGATGTAAGAGATGAAAATGATGAAAACAATCCAACCCAGTGATGTCTTGTTGAGAAGAATAGAGGGGTCGGTTTGGCACCATTTACCTACTGGTGGTACACGACCGTGTCGCCGGGAATTCCAACGGCCATCTATGATCCAACCGGTGAACCATTCTGAGGATTTACACTTTGGGGGAAGGGATGGCCGCTTCATGTCCCGAAATGTTCTGCTTTTGAGGCAGAGACGGCACTCTCTTTGACCCATGAAGCAGCAAGATTAAAACCTCCAAACTTATCAAGGTTCTCCAGGGAACGGATCTTCTTGTCAGCCTCACTCGTCATGGCTTTGGATTGAGTGGCCAAACTGTTGGCAACTCTGTGCCCTGGGCAATTGTTGGAAAATTGGTGCGTGTCTGTGTGTTTGTGTGTCTGTCGGTGTGTGTCTGTGTGTTTGTGTGTGTGTGTGTCTGTATCATTTGTGTCTATGTTCGTTGCCAGAAACTGTAGTCATGCACCAACTCATCCCACACCCACTCCCATGGCTTAGTGGGTGAGACTGTGTGCCTGAGACCAGCTGCAGTGGTTTCCGCATGCGCTGCATGTCCACGACGTCTGGTCCTCTCCGTCTGTTCAAGCCTAGCTCTGACGTCAGAATGGTATATCACTGGCCAGCATGCCCTGCCGTATCTCCAGGTCGAAAATGGTTTGAACGTCTTCCCCATCGTCTCTCGCGACTCTCCCGAAACACGGAACGACTCGCCCTTCGGACCTTTCGCACTTTTTGAATAGAAAGTCCCTTGGAGCGGCCCGGTCGGACCGGCGGTTTCCGGGTCGATTCGTAAAGGGAAAACACACCAACTGAGGTGAAATAGCACAAGATCACAAAACAAAAGTCATCCCAATGACCGCCTCCTCAGAACTCCCTCAAATCCCAGGACGATCCTCCAGAACCGCCTTTTTACATCATCCCGGTCGAAGCACCATGATTGACATCAACAGGTGTGCAGCAGCTCTTGAAATGAGGCACAGTATGGCACAGCGGCATATTTGCTTGGGTTCTAAAGTCATGGAAAGCAAAGCCACTGCCCGTCCATGTTTCAACAAATTTTTTGCTGTCACGTTGCGCGCTTGTCTTGGAGCTGGAAGCCCATCTGTCGGGAACATGTTTGTTTTCTTGCATACGAATGCTTTTAAAACTTTATCAAAGGCAACCTGAGTGCTGCCCTCAATCCAAGCTACAAAAGGTCAATGCAGTGAATGCAATATTGAATGAATATGGTGTGGCAAGAAGAAACTATACAACTCTACAGCGGAAAAGCAAAGTTCAACCTGACTAGAAAATTCTCTCGCGCGTCGGCCTCAATCTAGGCAGTAGCTGTTAGGGCGAACGTGAGGGAGGTTTTCTCCAAAGTCGAATTGCGCCTGAGTGAGTGAGTGAGTGAGTGAGTGAGTGAGGGAGGGAGGGAGTGAGTGAGTGAGTGAGTGAGAGTGAATGAGTGAGAGTGAGTGAGTGAGTGTGAGTGAGCGAGGGAGTGAGTGAGTGAGTGAGCGAGAGTGAGCGAGAGTGAGCGAGTGTGAGCGAGTGAGAGCGAGTGAGAGCGAGTGAGAGCGAGTGAGAGCGAGTGAGAGCGAGTGAGAGCGAGTGTGAGTGAGAGTGAGTGGGAGTGAGTGAGAGTGGTGAGTGAGTTGGGTTGAGTTGAGTTGAGTTGAGTTGAGGCGACGTGAGGTGAGGTGAGGTGAGGTGAGGCGAGGTGAGGCGAGGTGAGGCGAGGTGAGGCGAGGTGAGGCGAGGTGAGGTGAGGTGAGTGAATGGGTGAGTGAGTGACTGCGCACTTTGCACAGTCACACTTGCCACTCACCGGTCTCACCAATTGTCCTGCAGGGGTCACATGGGTCACATAGTGCCGCCTTCTGTCTCTTTCTCTTCTTCGACTCTTCTTCTTCTCGTTTTCCCTGGACAACTAAGGATCAGAGATCAATTAAGGTCTTTTTTTGCACGAGTGGAGACGCCATGTGTGCGGTGTGCACAGGTCATCTTTTGCTAAATTTTGAATCTCCGAGTTCTCAAAAAGCAAAGCAGGAAAACACCAAACAACCAAAACAAAACCAACAAACAAAGACACGGAACAAACCAACAAGTGAGAACATTGGAGTTTCATCTCTGTACGTCAGAAGTGAGACATGGTGAAACGGGAACTTCGGCTGCTTGCTACTTGGGCCATGAATTCCAATTCAAGCTGCTATTGAATGTTGGCTGGTTTCATGTGCGAAGAGGCATTAGGCGATCGGCCTGTGTGCGGACAGGCCAATGCACGCAAATGCCAGCCTTTAAAGCCAAAGAAGAAGGGAAGAAAGAGGGGCCGACCCCAATCCTGGAGCCCAATCGGAATTCCCTGGCCCTTATGCAGACAGTGGTCATGTCATTTGCACGCAACCTCTACTTGGGCAGGCCAGACCTGCCAATTGACCACGTTCACGTCTGCTTCCCTGTCCAGGTGGTACACAAAGTTGTTGAGCGATGCATTGCGCTCAACATGCAGGATGTCACCCCGGACGAAGGAAAAAGGTACAAACATAACACTGACAACGAAGCAAACAACCCGTACATCATTGCCCGAGCATACGAAGGGCAGCGCACTGCGGCAAATTATTCCTCCGTCCCACCCACGACGCAGCTTGCAGAGGTCTACGAGCACGGCATCCTGGATGGGAGCTTTGGCCAAATGATGTCCTTTGCCTCTTCCTATAAGAGCAACTTCAGAATTGAGGTACCACTCTGGCATAAAGTAGAGGAAGGGGTGGCCCCTCCAGGAAAAGACCAACGTGCTACAGCCCCTCTGATCATGGCCCAACCAGTCCTGCCGAACAGTGAACCGAGCCCTGACTCGTGCAATGACACGCTGGCAGATGTCACTGCTTTTTCAGAACAAGAAGTTGATGATGCAGAGGAAGAAGAAATTGAAGATGACACCTACCTTACTGTCACGGGGCAGGGCTGTTTCTCCTTCCATAGAAGTCTACTACAAAGGGCGGCGCAGACCTACTCAAAGCGCATCGTGAGCCACAAGTATCAGCAAATCTCAAAGTGGCTGCTAACTGGCTTTGCTGTTGCCATCTCGCGGAAAAACTGGCATCTCCTGTCCAAAAACAGGACTTGCACAGTGACCCGCTATCGATTGCTCCGCACACAGTTTCAACAGGGGTACCTAGCTGATGAGGAAGACAAAAAGGCGGCCCTACAGTATGCGGCCCCTCACGCCAAGTCCTTGTGTGTTGAAACTTGGGAGAAGCTTGTTTCTCAACTCATCCTCAAAGGCTACTACGAAGCAAATAATGCCTTTGAAGACGTCCGGGAAGCGCATGACCAGTTAGACTTCTATGCCACCACTAATCAGGACAATCCTGTGCGGGGAGCCCCTGAAGTTGACCCAAGAGGCCAGCAACAAGCCCCTGACCCGGTTCAACGCAAGGAAGGTCCCCAATAAGCTTAAAGTTCGGTGCCTTTGGCCTCAGACAGTGTACTTCCAGAATACCTCCATTAACAGGCAATATCCCTAGATGTTGTCCTGGCCGCAGTGTCTAGTGCATGTGGGGGGGGAGTGATTAGGCTACATGTGCTCATCGCATATGCAATAACATTCCCATGCAGGACAGCGGATTCCCTTTGCGCAGTTAGTAACTGGCTCAAGCTGACGGTAGTAGCATGAGAGTGCCTCGACGGAGACAGCAGTCTTAACGCCTTCTGGGCACCGACATTGGCACGATCATGTCCCTGCCTTGCAATGATGACTGCGATTTTGAGAGCAACAGTTTTTTCTGTCTTCAGCTTGTCACTGTTGCAAGCACTGTTATTCGGATTGATGTGCCGGTAAGCATCCACCATACATGGGAAATGCTTGAAGCATACCTAGTGGAACACCTGCCTTTTGTCAGCCACCTGGACATCTTTGGGTGTGAGCTCACCCTCCTCGATGTTGACACGCACCAAGCATTGCAGGATCCCATTCAAGAAGACCTATGGTGGAACACGCAATTCCACCTAGTAGTTCAAGAGTGCTTTCAGAAATATGACTGTAAAGAGCAACTTCAAGGAGAGGAGTATGAGGACTACCCCAAAGCTATCTGTGTAGTCGCCATAGAATATGCGGCTTTCCAGGGGTGCTATACCCTGGTCATGGTCGAAATGCCAGGATGTGTCGAGTTGGAGGTTCGACTATTCTCCGCGGTGCCCTTGAAAAAGGAGCCTGCAGTTGGCTACAGGAGCCGTAGTTGGGCCGTATGCGTTTGAAGAGTGTGCCAAGCTGAGCCAGCTCACTCTGCCCCATGTCAGAGCAAGGGCAGACGTGGTCTTGCGTCGCCTCCCCTGTCAGGAGTCCCACAAGGCTGTTTCTATTCGTCTGGTGTCCAACAGATCATACTGGGTGGTGATGCGACTTTCTTTGAGAATTGCAAAATGCTCACCCTACACACTTTCTCGCACTGTCAGCTTGAGTACAGTCAAATTGCCGCCTAGGCCAGACTGGCCATCCCAGGGAACCTTCGCCACATAGGATACAGAGCTTTTTGGCTAATGTACTGCGCTCGAAGCTCACCTTTTCCAGAAACAAGCGAGGTGCGTGGAGACGTCCAAGGCTGCCTTCAATGCCTTTGAAGAGTCCATCAGGACACATCCCCGTGGTGGCTCCACTACCTACCCCCATGAAAGTGATTGGACAGCCCCAACCAGCCACCACAAGTGATTGCTATCCCCTGTCAACGGTGATGGGGTGGGCAAGGGCGGCTGCCCAAGTAACCGTCCCCAGTCACTGTCTTTAAGAGGTCGCATTCTTAGTGGTGTTTTTTGATTTTTTCGCGCATATTCTCGACCTTTTTTGGATGGCTCTTGTGTCATGGCTCAAGGAACACCAGTGCTGGCTTTCTCTCTGCGATGATTGATGACACTGTGTCCCAGGGCAGCTTATTGGATGGCGAGGAACGCTCACCAGTGTTGCTCTGGAGTGAGGCATGTGCAAGAAGACGCCGGCATTCACACCATAGGTGAGGCCGCTTGGCAGACCAGTCTCGCTTGCAATTTGTGAGTGTTGGAAAAAAGAAATACTGGTGGAACAGTAATAGCACCTGTGGCTGCCTTGGCCTTTGCATCGCATAGTGCACATAGCACACTCTTTGTCTTTCATTGTTAGCCAAACTTTGCACTGGACTGGTGAGCCACCTCAGAGGCTTGACAACATGCCTGTGAAGCTGCGACTACAGAAAACCTTTGAACACCTTGAGGCGTCCTTTGAACTTTCTCGCAGGCAGTGCTCACCTTTCGTTGTTGAGCATTGTAACACTTCCACCACTGCTCCTCTGAGGAAATTCGAAAAACTGCAAACCGGACCAAAAGTACTGAGAGTGAAGGATGA